CATCTTCAGAGGACCTACATAATTTGCACCCAGGAGCCCTGCTCTACCGCGCAGCCGCCGCGCCCCCTAGTTTGCCCACCATGGCAGATGCTCTGGCTCACGGAGCGGATGTCAACTGGGTGAACGCGGCCCAGGAAAGCCGAACCCCGTTGCTGCAGGCCGTTGCTGCTGTGAGTCTGCAGTCCTGGGGCTAGAGACCGAGGGGTGGTCTAGAGAAGGTTGATGGGCTTCGGTTCTCCCCACCAGAGACAGCTGTGCCACAGCCACGAGGTCAATGGGCACAATTTGATTCCCGGAAAATTAAAAGAAGGTCTAAGGAGAGGGTGGCAGGAAATAAAATGTTTTAATTCACCCTTGCTGGCAAAAACCCGGGCGGTAGCAGCAGCCGGGGCCTGTTTTTTGCCAGTAAGCAAGTGACCAGCTCTGCTTTGTGGCATCCAGGCACGCGAAGAGACATCACCTCGCAGCGGTGTCATGACCCATGGGGAATAAAGGAGGGGCTCGCTTAGTGATGTCACTGTGTGGGAGGCTTGCCCCACCTTGCCCCACCCTCCATTCTTTCTTATGGAGCAAAGTTCTTTCTGTTTTTATCCAGAATTCACTGCTGGCTTGTGAATTTTTGCTTCAAAACGGAGCCAACGTGAACCAGACCGACTGCAAAGGGAGAGGACCTTTGCATCATGCCACCGTTTTAGGCCACACTGGGTACGACTCTTCTTTTGCACGTTCATCTGTCCCCGTGGTGAAAGTTGCTCCGTCTTTGTGTTTCCATTTATTTGGAAGAAATCCCTGAGCCTCTTAAAATAAATAGATGCCGAATGATACTTGCAGGCGGGTAGAGCTTTCGTTGATTAAATATTTATTTTTGTATTTTCACTTGTTTCTTTGGTTAGCGTTTGGAGCAGGTCAAAATGTACGAATGTTAAAACAGCCAAAAAAGGGGGGGGGGGGTTACCAGTTGGTAGAACTGATGTACATCAGTGCTTCACCTCCTACCCCAAACTAAAATCTGCTGGAAGGTCCTTAGGCAGGGGGGTTATCGAGATTCAGTGGACTGAATTCCCAGTGCAGGCTTGAACTAGAGGCGTCTCATTTGGGTGGGTAAAAGCTGCTTGAACCCACGGCCGATAGCTCTGCAGACTGCAGAAAGAAAGCAGTGCCCAGCTGTGCCCAACTGTGCCCAGAGGCTCCGGGGCGTTAAATGCAGCTGATTTAGGTCGTGCAGCGTGTTTCAATCAGCTCGGCTCACGGACAGACAATCTGATTAGAAGTTTGCAAAACCTGAATCGCAGGAGCCCCGGAGTTCAGATCTCCAACCAGGGGATCTTTGCACTGCTAAACCAGCCTTCCCTGACAGGGTTGTCCCCAGATCACTGGGTGTGAAGGCTGCGAGGTAGGGGATTATGGGTGTTGGAGTCCACCAAGTAAACATCTTGTTTGTGAAGTAACAGGCACATCACCTGCACGTCAAGCACACGTTCCAAAGGGACTTCGACCCTTTGGTCCCCCAGATCGCAGCACACCTGGTATTGTGCTGCATTATGATTTTATATTTTATTTTACATTTTGGTTTGCCCAGTAGCCAAAGCGATCCGTCTCTCCGGGAACCTCCTATTCAGAGCTCTGTCCCCATTTCTCCTCCCCCCAGGCTGGCTTGCCTGTTTCTCAAACGCGGTGCCAACATGAACGCCGTCGACGGGGAGGGCAAGGACCCGCTCAGCATCGCCATCGATTTGGCCAACGCGGACATTGTGACCTTGTAAGAGAAGGCCTCCTCCCTTTCCTACCTGCCCTGTTGAATGCCCGGGAGCGGGCACCAGTCCTGGCTGGGAGGGTGACAAGACTTAGGGGAGGGTGGGCCTGATGTCTCACCTTTTTCTGGAATCACCTGCAATTTGGGGAAAGAGGGCTAGCAAGTAGAGGTGCCAAAGGCGGATTTACTGCCTGGAATGGGTCACCCAGTGGCAATCCATCCTGTCCCCTTTTTTAAGAGAAGACAGTGAAGAGAGCATAGCTGTGGGGCCATCACCAAACCGTCCCTCTCATTTTAGTGGGGCTTCCATGGCCAATTTTAAGATCTGACACATTTGGAATGGTTTCTATTCCTCCTGTTTGCGCTGCTGAGCCTTTCAAGATAGCCAGGATTGAACGCAGCCTGACAGCTTCCCACTCAGCACTGTGGCCATTACGCAGCTGGTGTGGTGTGGTTCGCAAGTAATCAGGCAGGTCTACTCTGCACCTGTGGGACTTTCTAAATTGTCTCCTAGGGCAGCCCCAGAGAGAATGCATTGCAGTAATCTAGTCTCCATTAAAGTAATGCCCTCCATATAGTTGGGATTGCAGCTCCCTGAATTTCCAGCAGGATGGAGAATTTACTGATGGGGTATTTTGGGAGTGCCACGTTTGGGGACTAGACATAACCAGGATAAATGTACCCTTTGGGGGCTCTTTGTGAGAATCCTCTATGATTTCTCCTTCCTTTCTCTTTCCACCTTCCACCCCAAAGGTTGCGACTGGCCAAGATGCGCGAAGCTGAGCTGGCCTTGGGCCACTCCGGTGAGTCTTGCCCTCTGTAAGAAGGGATGGAGGTGGGAAATGTAGGCGGGGGACAGACTTGGCTCCCACCTCGATGTTCCTTTGTGAAATGCGAATTTCTAGATCCCTATTTTCTGCTGGGGAATAGCCCAGCTCTCAGTGTTCATCTTCCCTGATCTGTAAAATGGGCACCCCAGGGGATCTATTTTGCAGAGCTGCCAATAGGGCAGGGTCGATCCCCCTGAGCATTTCCTGTGCTTTAGAATCCCAACATTGCCATGGGTTCCTTCAAAGCCTGGAAGGGATAAAGCTTTGGGGGAAATTTCTAAGTGCCCCCCCCATGCACCCAGAAGACAAATTGGCCAACGGAGGTGACTTTTGGGTATCCTAAACTAGCTTTGTGGTCATGCTGGCCAAGGATTATGGGAGGTGAAGTTAGCTGACCTAGAGGACCCCCAGTCTGCAGGGACAGAAGCACAGCATTCCTTCGGACCCAACCCGGTGCTTTTTCTCCAGGAGATGAAACCTATCTGGACATCTTCCAAGACTTCTCCTTGATGGCCTCCAATGACCCAGAGAAGCTGGCGAGGCGAAGCTACGACCTGAAACTCACCACCTTGTGAAGCCCTGGAGAAGCCGTCCTCAGGATGGGAAACCCACGGGGAATGCACCTTTTCCTTTCGGCAAGGAGCGGCGGAGTGGCTTGATCGTCCAAAACAAAATTAAGTTGCAGGGGGACCAAGGGGTCATTTTCAAGCTCGGATCCTCCAAACTCTCCTTCCGCCCCGGCTCACTTTGGGGTAAATTTGGCAAGAAAACAGTCGGGACAGCAAAGATCAGAGTGTGGGGGGCTGCCTCATTTTGGATCCTTCTGTTTCCCACTCTGATTTTTCCTTTTTATTTATTGCTTTTGGACTGTCTATAATTGCAGGATGGTGCCAATTGACAGATATAGAATCAGTTTCCACCCCAGATCCAGCTTTCCTTTCTGAGCTTGGAAACAGCAATGTCCCGGTCTGGAAAGGTGAAAGCTTATTGCGAAAAAATAAAAATAATTGATACAGAGAGGTGAAAGTGGGGTGTTGTTGCTGGGAGGGCGACAGATTTTATGTGGGAATAAACATGGCTCTCCAGAATACAGGAATGATGCTTTGCAGGTCGTGAGGTAGATCCGTTGGACTGAAGATCTCAAAGTGTGACTCCTGCAGCTGTGGTTGATTTGTGCTATGTATGCTAGTGCCCTCATTTGTTTTAGGACATTATCGGTAGCCCCTGTGGTGTGCCTGAATCTCATACTTTTTCACCTTTTCAGTGTTTATCTTTTAAACCTTTGAAAGAGTTAATTACTCACTTAGTAGATTGGGGGAACGCCCTGGACATAGTTTACCCGGACCGCAGCAAAGCCTTTGAGAGAGTGCCTCACAGCAGACTTCTTCATAAAATGGTAACATATGGGCTAGATGATACCACGGCTGGATTCAGTTGGTGGAATTACCACTGCAAAAGATATTCCTTGACGCCGTGTTTCTCAACCTTTTCAGATGCGTGAACTTCAACTCCCAGAATTCCCTGGTCAGCATGCTGGCTGGGGAATTCTGGGAGTTGAAGTCCATGCATCTAATGTTGCCAAGGATGAGAAACACTGCCTTAACAGCTTCACTTCACCTTAGAGGCAAGTAACTGGTAAAGGCCACAAGATTTATCCTGGGGCCTGTTGAATAGTTTGACCAATTACTTGTAGGACAGAGTTGAGGGGACCCTTATAAAATGTGCAGATGACACAAAGCTGAGAGGGATGATTAATACCTTAGAGGAGAGGAGACTTGAAAAGACCCAGACAGGCTTGAACCATGGGTGGAAATGAATAGGATGGAGTTCAACAGGAGAAATGTCCGTTTCTGCATCTGGAGAGAAAATTGAAAGGCACTAAGTAAGAAGTTGGACCAGATGGCCTCGCGTACCCCTTCGAACTCTGAAGTTTCTAAATGAGCCAGTGCTTAACATGGCCCACATCGTGGCATCTGCTCTGTGGTGCTGGGTTGAATCTCAGGACACCCCCACCCCATGGGGGAAATCAGCTCGTCTTGGTCGCGGTGTGCGGCGCTGAGAACAACCCTGATTCGCATCTGTGTTTGCACGACACAAAACTTGCAAGGGTGTGCTGCTATTTTAACCCCTCTGGGTGACACCCAGCTTTCTAACCAGGAATTGTGGCTTCACGTGCTGGCTGACCCCAAAACGCAACCTTTCCAGAAGCCTGAATGGGTCCCTGGGGTCTTTCCTGCAGAATTGCACACACCTGGAGGTGAAAGAGCTGCGTCGCCTCCTTTAATCAGCCCGCTGGGTCAAGCCAGGCAGGGACTGGTCTGTTACGTGTCCTCGCTAACTGGGGAATTTGAGCCCGGCCAAAACATGTCTTCTCCAGCCCAATTTGCTTTATGCCACGGAATCTAAACATTCTGTGTATGCTCAACAGAACTGTCGTCTTCACTGCGTGCACATGGCAGACTCGGGTGCCAACAGCAATAGAGTGTTTTGTTTAAACCTTGGAACTGATCAACAGGTCTTCACAAAGGCACAAAGCTGTGGTTTGGGGCTGCAGCCAGGAACCGGTGGCCCCACCTTGCCCTGCCAGCCTCCCCGGGGCAGCAGGAGCCACCCAGGCCTGGTGCCCTCTGGGAACGCTCGGGCAGCCCCTCCCTTGGGGGCAGAGACAGCCTCCACCCCCCCAGCTTTTGGACGGGCACCAACTGTTGCCCATTTGCTGGTGTCTGAAAGTGCCCAGAACCAGGAGAGGTTGGCGCTGCCAACGCCCTCCCTGGCTCCTGGCAGGGAAAGGCCTTGCTAAAGGAGCATTTCTACCTTCAGTTGCTGCAGGTAAGGAATGGGGGGGGCAATGAGAAACAGGCCAAAGTTTGCCCTGAGCCTTTTGGGGGAGGGAGGCTCCTCGGTCGAAAGACTGTCCCTTTTGCATCTTCCCGTGTTGCTCTCCCCGTTTCTTGCTTGCCCTGCTCCCATCCCACTGGCTTGGTTCTTACTCCTTCATTGGGGGGGGGCGGTAACCCGTGACCCTCCAAATGGTGCTGCATTACACTGCCCAGCGGCTCCCAAGCGGGCCACGGCTGCAGGGACTTGCCTTCGCTCTGGAAAGCAGCCAGTCCCTGACCCTTGACAAGGTGCCAATGCCCCTCCAGAGCGCAGGCTTCCTTCTCGTGCTCCTCCACTTGCCCCCGTTGCCCCTTCTCCCCAGCAGCCTGGTGTCCTGCCTGCGTGCCCCCCCGCCCGGTTCTCAGCAAAACCACGTTTTGTTTTTTTAAACCGGCCTGTGCGCCCCTCCCAGCTCGGAAAAAGCCGGTTTCCCAGGCAGATGGAGTTACGCTCAGCCCGCCCGCTGCCCCGACCGGTTCTGAGATCTCTCCTGTCCCTTTGGCTTAACAAATTAAGCCCTGTTTTGGGCAATCGGTTGGCAGCCTTGGTTATTTAACCGTGGCTTCCTCTCCTTTCCAACTCAGTGGAGAGAATTTGCGCAAAAACTCTCCAAAAACACAAACTCTTTTTCTTTTGCACACAAACTTCGTGTAAAAACTTCGAACAGGGCAGGAGTAGATGTGATGTGAGTGAAGAAGCCAACCGACGGAGGCTGGAAACGGCCGGATCCTGCCAGAGGCTGCAGAGGGGAGCACGGTGGAGTTGTGGCTGGGGGGGCCGCTGTCCCCTCCACGCTAAGTCCCCCCTTCCCAGAGCAGAGCAACCGCAGCCCGGCCTGCACTTTCCGACGCCCGCGGTGCCTGGCAGGGCCGGGCAGGGTCTGAGCTCCGTGGAGGAGGCGGGATCCGCTGCGTCCCCCGGTTTGGAGGCTCAGCGCCCGTGGCTCAGCCCGTCCTTGCTTCTGCTCTTTTATCCTTCCCAGCCCAGCGGAACAGTGGGGAGAAATTATGGAGGGAGGGGGCTTCGGCTCTGTCCGTCCATAGGCGAATCCTCTCAATGGGGAGCGGGGCCACATCTGGAGTG